CTCCTCCTCCTCCTCCACTTCCTCCTTCTCCTTCTCCTCCTCTTCTTCCTTCTCCTCCTCCTCCTCCTTTTTCTCCACCTCCTCCTCTTCCAACAAACTCAGAGACCACCAAGGATGCCTCTGAGCCCCTCTCAATGGGAGGGAGATTTTACCAGAGAAATAGGGCAGAGACCACACAACAATTCCCAAAGGGCAGCAACAACCTCCCCCTCCCCACTCCCCAGGCTAAGCTTCTACAACGCCCCAAGCTGAAATGTCACTGCGCATGCTCAGAGGCTCCCTTCACAAACGGGCTTCCTATGGGTTCCCAGTGGAAGAAGAAAAGTGACGTACCTGAAGGAGGACTTTGACGCACTGCGGCTGGCAAGCGATGGTGGCGAGGTGCAGAGCTGTGCTGCCTGCCAAAACAGGAAGCGTAACATGAAAGGGTTGGAAGGGACCTCGAGAGGTCTACTAGTCCAACCCCTGCTCAAGCAGGAGAGCCTATACAATTTCACATGAATGGTTGCCCCATCTCTCCTTCGAAACTTTCAGTGTTTTGGAGCAGCCACAACAGATTAACAGAGTTAGAGGGGACCTTGGAGATCATCAAGTCCAACCCCCCCTTGCCCACACAGGAGACCCTACAGCATTTCTGACAGATAGTGGTCCAGCATCTCAACCAGGGTTTCCCAATAGGATAGGATTGGATAGAATTCAGAATAGAATAGAATACAACAGAGCAGAATTCAGAATAGAATAGAATAGAATAGAACAGGAACAGAACAGAATAGAACAGAATTCAGAACAGAATAGAATTCAGGATAGAATTCAGACTAGAACAGAACAGAATAGAATTCAGGATAAAATAGAAAAAAATGAATGGAATGAAATAGAATAGAATAAAACAGGAACAGAACAGAACAGAATTCAGAATAGAATAGACCAGAATTCAGAACAGAATATAATTCAGAATAGAANCTTGGGAGGGGGGCACCTCATTGGAGAATGTGATTTATGACACAGACTGCGGGAGAGGGAAGAAACAGGGGGAAAGTTCAGCCCTAATTCAAATGAAGCTCAGATCTGACTGCAATGGGGTATTGCTGAAATGGTGTTCCTAATAAATGACTGGATTTCTTTTGAAACTTGGCTTGAGGCTCATGAATTAATTAAGGCATTTTTTGGAAACCTGACACAAAGCTAATAAATTCAAATAACCCAATAAACTGCCTGCCTTTCTCTTCCATTCCAGGTAAGCTCTGACTTTGAGAAGTCCATTTAGTGACCTTTCAAAGTTATAACATCACTGGAGAACTTTTCACACTCACAACCTTTGTGGCATCTTTAGGCGATCAAAATTCAGATGCTTGGCAGCTGGTTCATACTTATGACGGTTGCAGTGAGTGTTCCCAGGGTTATGTGATCCCATTTTGCGACCTTACCCAGCTAGGGGATATCATCAGTGCTAGAAGGGAGTGGGGTGTGCGGAGAGGAGGAGGAAGAGAAAGAGGAGGAGGAGGATTATGGCGTCCTTGAGCTGGCTTCTTTTCTTGCAGACGTTTCATGACCCTACTAGATAACACCATCAGTGCTAGTAAGGAGTGCTGCTTGCTGTCAGTTTATATTCTAGTGTCTTGCCTGTCTGTGTGAATGGGTGTGGGGGGGTCTTAGAGAGTCTTTGGTGGGCTCTTTGATTGGTCTGGGGTTAATTTTGGAGTTAATCTATGCTCATCTGGGGGCTGATTGTTGGTGGAGAGATTGCTTGGGTCTTTTAGTTCCCTTTTTGGCTGGTGGATTCTCTTGAGAGACCAACCCCACTCCTTCCTAGCACTGATGATGTTCCCTAGTTGGGTAATGAAACGTCTACACAAGAAAACAAGCAAGCTCAGAGAGTATTAAGTCCTTTTCCTCCTCCTCCTCCTCCTCCT